TCCAGGCAAGTTGGCCAGACCCTGTTTCAAAGTAAAACAGAAAAGACAGAGGTATAATTCAGTAGTGAAGTGATGCATAGCATGTGAGATGCCCTGAGTTCAATCCCCAGGACCGGAAAAAAAAATAAAAACAATGACCAATGAATATTTTAGAAAATTATAATTTGAGATTATATACAAAATCATATTTGAATGTTAACAGTGAAATTATATACTTTTTATTATGTTATTATTTTAAAAGAAAAAGTTGTTTCATGTAAGTGAATATGCAGATTTGCTTGGCAGAAACTTCCTATCAGTTATAGGATATGAAAACCACCAGACAAAGTTTATATAGATCTAGAGCACTCAAGCGTTAACATGTTAAGGGTAATGTATATCATCCAAGAATTAAGATAAATGACTTCATTCATATCTGATTTCTTATAGAACATATGCATGTTAACGGTGACAGATTATCATGGTTGTGTTCCTAAATGGCTTCAAGGTCAACACCACCTGAGGTTCAGTCTTTGGCTGCCACAGAGGGGCTGTCTGACAGACAGTTGTCTATGAGGAAAATGTTCCAATAAACCCTGATGAAGCAGGACTTGCTAATATTTATCCAGAGGGTGGAAGGTCATTTGTAGAGCACAGTGAAAATTCAATTGATTTCCAAAGTCTAGAGAAAGACAATGTGACCATTGTGCTCATGAGGATGGTTGCAAAGTGAGTCAGGAGTGAATCCTACGGCTTAGGTGAGTTAATGGAAGACAGAGGCATTGATACAGAAGTCACACATTGCTGTGATTAGAATGTAAAGGAGGGCTGGGATTCAGCTCACATGCCTTGCTGCTATGCCATTTTCAGATGTTTCACCTCTCTCTGTGTCAGGCGATGAGGGTCATGTGCGTGTATTAGAAACTCTTAGATCCAACTACTCACAAGTTGAGAAACAATTAAGAAAGATCCTACTGTCAATATTCTAACTTTTGGGACAAAGTGTTTTTCATGTAATATAGACAATTTCCCTATCAGTGATCTGTTCCTAAGTGGGAAGGAAAATAAGCTCTGATTTTCATGAAATTGGCTTTGTTTATGAAAATAAAATTTGGGGCTGCAGAGATGGCTCAGCAGTTAAGAGCACTGTCTGCTCTTCCAGAGGTCCTGAGTTCAATCCCCACCAACCACATGGTGGCTCACAACCATCTATAATAAGATCTGGTGCCTTCTTCTGGCCTGTAGGCAGAACACTGTATACATAATAAATAAAGTATTTTAAAAAAAATCAGACATGAAAATAAAATTTTCCCACAGCCTTTTCTTTCTTTCCTTTCTCCTTCCTTCCTTCCTTCCTTCCTTCCTTCCTTCCTTCCTTCCTTCCTTCCTTCCTTCCTTCCTTCGAGACAGGGTTTCTCTTTGTAGCCCTTGCTGTGCTGGAATCACTGTGTAGACCAGGCTGGCCTTGAATTCACAGAGTGCTGGGATTAAAGGCCTGCACTGCCACCACCACTCGGTCCCCCACAGGCTTCCTTTCTTTTCTCTTTCTTTCTTCTTTTTTCCCTTCCTTCCTTCTCTCCCTTTCTTCTTTCTTCCTTTCTTCTCTCTCTCTTTTTTTCTTTTCTCTCTCTTCCTTCCTTTTTTTTTGAGACAGGTTTCTCTGTGTAGCCCTGGCTGTCTCTGTAGACCAGGCTGGCCTCAAACTCACAGAGATCAGCCTCCCTCTGCCTCCTTCACGCTGGGATTAAAGGTGTGTACCTGCAACACTGGGCCCCCACAGCATTGCTTTTAAGGATTAAAACCAAACCACTTAGTACTATGTAATCAGATCTAATTTTTAATACTTTGAATTAAATGTGTCAACACTAGGTTTTCAATATTTAGGGAAACAAACACACACACACACACACACACACACACACACACACACACACACACATATACAACAAGCAGGGTTAAAGAGATAGCCCAGCAGTTAAGAGCATCTGCTGCTATTCCAGAACAGCGTGGGCTGGATCCCATCATGGCATGAAGTGGGTGCAGTGGTGCAGGTCTATAATCTGACTCAGAACTTAGGAAGTGGACTCAGGAGGATCAGAAGTTCAAGAGCAGACTCAGCTACATTGAAAGTTTGAGGTCAATCTGAGATACACGATAGATATCCTGCCTCAAAAAGGGAAAAAAATTAATGAAAATAATATGATACAAAAATATACAAGTTTTCTTTTTCTTTTTTTTGAGACTCAGTCTTTCTATGTAGCCCTGGTTTATCCTGAAACTTGCTAAATAGACTGGGCTGCACTGGAATTCATAGAAATGCTCTTGCCTCTGTTTCTCAAGTGCTAGGATTAAAGGTGTGAGCCACTATTCCCGGCTACAAGTTTTTTTTTTTTTTCTTTCTTTCTTTCTTTTGCTTTATGGTCAGGGTTCTATTTTATTTTAAAAAAGATTTATTTTAAAATTATGTGTAGTATGTGTGGAGGTATATGGAGCACATATATACAGTGACTGACGGGGTCAGAAGAGGGCATACATTTCTTGAGAATGGAGTTACAGGTAGTTGTGAGCTGCCTGTGGGTGACAGGAACCCATTTGGGTCCTCTGCAAGCTCTTAACTGCTGAGCCATCTCAGCAGTTGATGGCAGGGCCTCACTATGCCACACCACACTCACCCATGAATGCTGGGATTAGAGGTGTGTGCCACCACAGCTGGACTCATAATTTTAATGTGTCCGAGTCATTGATTTATAAGTTTATATTATACAATGGCTTAGGTCCTCTAAGATTGTATGAACAAAACTGTACCACATCTCTGCTGTGTATACCTTTCTAGAGACTTAGTTCACAGATTGTATTGATTTCTTGGTGGATCCAATAACTAGTTCTTCCCTAACTAGTTATTTCCCTAAGCAAAAATGTGGAGTATAGATGAGTCCAATTTTTGGAACACTCTATTTTATTTTTATTTATTTATTTTATTTATTTATTTTTGAGAGTGAGCACACACATGCCATAGAGTGTGTGTGGAGGTCAGAAGACAATTTTGAAGAGTTGGTTCTTTCCTTCCACTTTGTTTTTGAGGAAGGATCTCTTTGTTTTGTTTTTTCCACCACACATGTGCAAACTCCATAATAATAATAATGATAATTGTTGACTTAAAAACACGATTCTTATCCATGTGTGGTGGTGCATGCTTGAAATTCTAGTGCATGGAGGCTGAGGAAGGAGGCTCTCAAGTTAGGGCTGGCTTGGATTATATTGAGACTCTGAATTGAACTCAGCTCAAATGACTACCACCACCACCACACACACACTGCTATTATTACTTGATGGGTGTCAGAAAGTTCTATTTAACAAATGAGGAAACTGAATCACAATTACTTTTCTCTGGTCACATAGCTATTATTGCATAGCAGAGCAGGAACAGTACAACTGGCTCCAGAGGGCCCCAAACAGTTCGCCTGTTTCCAAATTGGGGATTATTACGGTTAGTGGTGAATTTTAACCTGGAACAGTGCAAAGCTGCAAATGGGGCACAAGTTACAAAAGATGCAGGGTGTGGCACTCACCTTTAATCTCCAAACTGGAGAAGCAGAGGCAGGTGAATCTCTGGCGTTCCAGGGCAGCCAGGGCTACATAGAGAAAGCTGGTCTCAGAAAACCAAACCAGAATCATGTTACAATAGATACCTAGTAAACAAACTCTTGCATTCCTGAAGGCTTTACTGCCTTTCCCAGTGCCATAAAAGGACTAGACCCAACAGGAAGGGGTTAGAAAAAGACTTGAAAGCCTAAGGCCAAAGTTTGATATTGCTATCCTCACTAAATTCCTTGATAATCTCATGTTTTCTCTTGAAGTTATATGCAAATGTTTCATCCACAACCACGTTGCTTATTTGGTGATAGGAAACTTGCTGGCCAGGTGTGGCCCACTACCCTTGTAATTCCAGCACTGGGCTGGTGGAAGCAGTGGCATTATTATAGTTTCAGGTCCACCTGAGTCACATCAGAAAACCAGCTCCCAGCTGACAAAGTAAAGCACCTTCCCTCCCTGCTGGGACTTGCTTATCTCCTACTTTTCTTTTTCCTTTTTTTTTTTTTGAGAGATGGTTTCTTTGTGTAGCCTTGGCTGTCCTGGACTCGCTTTGTAGACCGGTAGGCTGGCCTCGAACTCACAGAGATCTGCCTGCCTCTGCCTCCCTGAGTGTTGGGAGGGCCTTGGTCTTCTCGTTCAGCTTGGGGCTAGTTTTCGTAGCTTGGTAGTTTTAAAACAAAGAGCCATTGGGGCTGGGGTCTGCTCAGTTGGTTGCGTTCACAGCAGCTCTGAGTTTAAACTAGGCATGCCGGCATATATCTGAAATTTCAGCACTTGAGAAACAGTAGAAGAATATGAAGTTCACGATCATCCTCCGCTACATAGAAAGTTTGAGAGCAGGATGAGACACATGAGATCCTGTCTCAAAAAACAAAACTAAACAACCCTCACCTTCAAACAAAATTCCTTTAATGTAAACAGTCCATTAATTGCAAACAAAGACCATGTGGCAGAAGAACTCCTGCAAGGTTTTCTTTAACCACCGCTCCTGCACTCCATCTCCAATAAATAAATGTTAAAAAGTAACAAATATTTGCCTACTATCATGGTAGTTTTCTAACTGTGGGTCTCTTAGTTCGAGCCGAAATCAATAGGTCAAACTTTAAAACTAAGATAAAACAATCAGACTAAAGTTTGACGAGAACAGTTGGTACGTGCGGTGCGCATCCACAGCTTTTCCTGCCATCGAGGGAGGGAGTAAGAACCTCTGGAAGCTCCCGCAAGCTCTGCCCTTGCAGCACTGTCGCGGAAGGAAGCACCTAAGCACCCGCCTTATGGAAGCCGGCCTCAGACGCCAGATTGGGCGACCCGCCCGCGATCGCACGCGCACTGCGCGCCCTACAGACGCAGCAACTCTCTGGCCGTACCGCACCCAGCGCGCAACTCCCGCCTGGGGGCGGGGCCGAGGGGGAGCGCGCGCCTCCGACGTCATCGCCGCGCGCCGCCGCCTGCGCTTTTGCCACTTCGCGGGAGAAGTTGTTGGCGCCAATGGATCCCGAGCCTCGATAACGGATTTCCCCCAGCCGCAGTCCTGCCCACCTGCTCCTCTTCGGTCGAGGGGCTGCGATGGTGAGCCTTCCGGGAGGCCGTGCAGCTACAGAGGCTTTGCAGGCCGGGCGTGGACGGGACGCAGCGGGGCGGGGCGGGGAGGACGGTGCACGGTGCACCGAGGGCCCCTGCTTAGGGTGCGGGGCGCATCGCGGACGCGGCGTGCAGGGATGTGGCTGCTCCGCGGCGCTTCGCCACCCACCACCGACTCTTGGGGGAAGGGGGGAAGGAAGAATGTTGATTTGGACACGGCGTTAAAAGTTACTTTCGTGCTCAGCATTGTCCGGAGTCTCCCTTGGAAAGCTAGGAATTCAGGCTTTGGGAGGAGGAAAGTAACACTTTGCTTTCTCAGGGAGAAGTTGCTCGGGCCTTCATCTTTAATCAGCTTCCTGAAAGTGCGTCTCAGCTGTTTTGAGAGCTGATAACACAAGGAAGTTGCTTTACTTTGTTTAGAATAATTTATAGGAGTTGAACGGATAACCTGGTTTACCAGGAATAAAAAAGACACGGAGTACAGACGGATGTTATGTATTTGACAGCTGTCATTTCTTATCACCTCTTACAAAAAGTAATCTTAAAAACAAAAACAAAACAAAACAAAACACCTCAGTTCCAACCTCAGTACATAATTCTGTGTAATTGACATTCAAGTAGCTCGAAAGTGAAATAGCCCCTGGCATAGGAGACAATTACATATTTGAATATATATATATATATATATATATATATATATATATATATATATAT